TGTACTTACCTGCCTGAAACAATCCAGAAGTGGGCAAATGTATGGAATCCTGGACGTTAGTCAATGAAGGACAGTGGTCCCTTGAGAGACGGGCAGTTTTCCCTCTTGACCTTAAACACACGATACCTTTTGTAACACCACTTCTCCTGTTCTCCAGATACCAGCTGAGTATCCAGCAGTTTATTTTACTGTCCACCCAGAGTTACCACCAGAGTCCCCAAGTTAAAAGGATTCAGTCTGTAGATTGCCACAACCTCAGGTGGCAAGTCCTGGGCCATCTGTTCTTGTGGCTGACAATCTGTGAAGCTTGGGTTTCCACAGCCCCTCTCCTTGTGTTTGATAATTTGTTGGAATGACTCACAAGACTCAGGAGGACAGGCAGCATCTATTTATTGGGTCATTATGAAGAATTCAATTCAGAAAGCTTGGAGGACTGGCACCACTGATTTCAAGACTCGGGTAGCTCCTGTGTCGTAACAAYGGGACAGTGGTACAAAGAGACACATAGGTCAGTAGAACAAAATACAGAGTCTAGAAATGGTCACACGTAGTTTTTGAAGAAGTGCGAAGGCGAGTCAGTGGAAACAGTCTTTTCCATGATGGTGCTGGAGTAATGGGATCTCCAGATTTAAAAAATGAATTTGAGCCATGCTTTACCCGCTGTACAAAAATTAACTTAAAATGAACCAGAGGCCTAAAAGTAAAACCTAGAACTGAAACTTCTAGAAAGAGTCTTTGTGACATGGTGTTAGGCAAAGATTTCTTAGACTCAGCACCAAAAATATGATCCATAAAGGACAAATTAGAGGGCTGGGATTGTGGCTCAGTGGCAGAGTACTTGCCTCACAAGTGTGAGGCACTGGATTCGATCCTCAGCACCATATGAAACTAAATAAATAAAAGTTTTGTGTCCATCTACAACAACAACAAAAAAAAAAATGTAAAAAAAAGAACAAATAGGGGCTGGGGTGGTGGCTCAGCAGTACCGCACTTACCTGGCATGTGGGAGGCACTGGGTTTGATTCTCAGCACCACATATAAATAAATGAAATAAACGTCTATCAACAACTAAAAAAAAAWTTTWAAAAAGAACAGATAAGATTTTGATGTAAAAACTCATGTTCTTTAAAATATACTGTTTAGTGGATGAAAAGAGAAGCAAAATACTGGGAGAAAACCTTTACAAATTCTGTATTTGATAAATGACTTACATGCAGAAAATCTGGAGAACTCTCCAAACWMAGTAATAAAACATGCAACCCAATAAAAAATGGGCAGAAGATTTGAA